TGTTTACAATAATTTAATACTAAACAAACACAGTGAAAATTTTTTTTTCGTTAGGTTCAGAATGATTTTGGCGAAATTATTTCATACACAAATTTTCACTTGTCCTATATGGCAAGATGAGCGTTGCTATTTAAGCAAGATCGCAAGTTCTGCTTATTCGGCACGACATATATAATATATATATATAATATATATTTATAATATATATATATATTTTATATATATATATATATATAAATGAACACCTGTGAGACCTGTTCATAATGGGGAAATTTAAGCAAACAAAATTCAGCAGCAGACTATAATGTATATTTGCCTCCACCCACTTATATACAGATATTTACACTATGTACAATATGTAAAAGGTAAATAATAAAGTGAACACCACGGTGGCAGATGGCAAAGCAGAAGCCAGAGTACACCGTATTCAACCAGCAGGTTGGCAATACTGAAATTGCTTACCGCAAGTGAACCACGTTGTTCAGCTTTGGCGGGCTTTCCCTGTGATTGGTCAATAAACCAAGGTACTGATTTAACCACGGGTACCCCATCGATCGTTAAACCCTAGCACCTGGTCGCTGGTTGGGAGGCAGCCCGTATGGAGTGTGACATACGCCAAATAAATTTCTAACATACTATTTGCATGCTATATATTTTAAAATATTAATATATAATATATATATATAAATATATTATATATATATATAATATATATATATATAATATATATACACTCACATAGGGAGAGGATGGTGAAACAAAAACAAAGAATCTGATACAAAGTAGATGTTCTTTGCCGATGACAGCTCTTTTGGGAGATTCTGATGAAAAATTACAGGACGATTTTTGGTAGGTGTATAAAGGGAAATTTAAAAATGAATGTAAAAAAATAACAAAGTTTAAGCATTGAAATGCGAGATACTGGATTTGAGGGAGTATTTAGGAAGTAAACGTATTGAGATATTATATAGCTGACATGTCGACAGATGGGTCTAAAATGTCGAACTTCATGATTCCCGCGTTAGTGTCGGCACTGGATGGTTCCAAGACAACAGGTAATAATACCACCTACAATTTTCACAGAGGGTTTTTAAGACCTTACTCCGAAATATAAGGTAAACAATAATTCACAACCACATATACGCTACTTTGTAATATTTTTGTGAATTCATGTCTGCATAAATAACGCATTACGATTGTAACCAGATATAAACATGTAAATATTTCATTACCACTGTAACTTGATGTGCTATCAAACTCTGCGACCCAGTCCCTGGAGCCATTATGTACCGCTGTAATGTTTTGACTACCACTCACAGGATGGGTATTGGGTGCATAATAAAGATATTAAACTAGAGTTCATGACCTAGCTGAACTCTCCATAAGCCCAGAGAAGTCGGGAGAGGATGCAGCAGAGATAAACTTTCAGCACCCCAGTACACGCTCCTCAATGTGCACTGGGACAGCTAGATGCTTCCCGACCTCACCGGTCAAGGCGAAAATGGACCGGGATCCTGTCCTTGTCTCAGCGAAAGACAAGTTGAAGCTACAGTACTTGGTGCTCCAGTGCTGTCTTCAGGACAGGGAAACAGCAGCAGCAGCTGTCTAGAGGGAAATAGGGACTGATTGAAGATCAAGTGCAGCTGTCTCTCGTACAACTGAGTGGACAGTCGCTAAATTACAACCCTCAAGTAATCGATGACGAAGTCCATAACTTCGCCCTAATGAGGTGTTGCCCTCATTCACTGTTTTTAAAGGCGCGGTGAGTTTCCCTGTCTCCTAAATCGTGTATTTTTTCCCTATAATCTACCTTGTCTATAATTACTATCGCATTTGCTTTGTCCTTTCTGTTGTAAGATAAAGTCTAGGACCTTCCTTAATTCAAAATTTTGTTAAGTTATACCATGAATTAAGGAAAGATCCTGGACTTCACCTTACGAAAGCAGACAAAGCAAATGTGATAGTAATTATGGACAAGGTGGATTATAGGGGAAAAATAACATTATTAGAAAACAGGGGGACTGATATGCCCCTTAACACTGATACCTGAGCGGCTAGATTATATGTAAATAAATGGTTCAGAGAACCGAGAAGTTCATAAATTAGAAATATGTACAAGTTTTGGGTATCTTTATTTAGGTAACGCTTCGCTACAGTGTCTTCATCAGTCATATACAAAGAAGAATGGTGATCATCATTCCTCTTTGTATTGGACTGATGAAGCCACTGTGTGGCGAAACGTTTCATAAATAAAGATACCCAAGTGTTGTACATGTGTCTAATTTATCGGCAAGGTTATAGCACACTCCCTGCCCATCCTGTTAGAGGCAGCGCAAATTTACAAGGGTCACAATGGATTTTTATCAGACCCCAGTGGGCAATCATTTTATATATACTATTACAATTTCTTCACATGGCTAATCTACACAATACGGAGACACAGTCTTGAGAAAATTCAAGTATCTCATTACCACTAATAAACAATGGTCAATACTAGGTT